TGAGATCTGTTTAGGGGAAGAAGGAGGAGTGGGCTGTGGCCAGTTTCTCTGGGGTGAAAGAGGCCAGCAGCAGCCAGTTTCTCCAAGGAGAATAAGGCCCTGAGCGCCCTCATCCATAACCTTTTACTGGGTTGTAATACACAGAAATACAGGGCGGCAAGGATCAAACAGTAAATAACATTACAAAGAGATCCGAGGGCTTCAGAGTCTAAGTCAGTGTCTGTCAGCAAGAGAGTTGCAGAAAATTTGGGAGACATACTCATTTCCTCTCAGACCCTTATCATATGAATGAAAGCACTCTTAGCAGAGTAGATTTCACAGGTTAATCAGCAAGTCTTTGTGATGCCAGATTTTTCCCCAGGACACACTCTAGCAAGGCAAGGAGGTGCACCTCTCCCCAACAGGTATTTAAGCTTAAGGGCATTAGAGTCAGGAAATGCTTCTCTGGGAGAACATGGGTACTCAGGCTTAGTCAAAGGGAAAGGTCTCGCCGGGGGGCAAGGGTCCATTGTTCTTTGTTGCAGCCCCCCAAGTCCTTCCATGAAGGCCTCCCAAGTGATCGAGTCTGGCTTAGGTTGCCCCCCACTGTGAGGGCTCTTACCCGTCATTGACTTCCGACCAAGCTTTGGGGGCAGGGAGAGGAACTGAGGCAGTGTTTGCTACCAGAGACAAGCTTTGTCTCCTGCAGCTGGCATTCCAAAGGTCATCTCTCATCCTTAGCCACAAGGAGTAGAGATACAATTCCTAAAATCAGGCAGAGCGGTCTACAACAACTGCCTAGTCCACCAGCCACTGTCTTGCCCACCAGCTGAAGCCTTACCTGCCCTGTCCTCCAGCCACTGCTTTGCCATGAGTCCTCTCCACCTGCTGCCTGTCTCTGCCCCTCCTACTGGTCTGGATAAATGTTTCTTCTTTAACTCCTTGCTTGTCAGACTTCCATACAGTTTGATTTTCTGTCAGTTCTGGTTGGTTTTCATTTTTAAATTTGTTGTCATCCTTCTTTTGGTTTTTCAAGGAGGCACAGAGTTTCTATCTATACCTGTGTCTTGGCCAGAAGTTTTGAAAACAAATTTTTTTTAATTCTGGTCGACAAAGTTGATACAAATAAAATAGAATGTATCAGTAAATTCTAAGACAGAAGAATTCAGTTCTAAGATAGTACTTAGTTTTGTAAAGTCAGTTGATACACTCTGGGACAATAAAACTCCATGTTACATGTATGTAACATGTAAATTTTAAGCTGCAGAGTATCACCAACAGGTTAGAATGTCTGCTCTGGAGCAATAACTATACTATGATAACTTCTATTTAAAACTCTATAATCAGTATGTTTATTCCTTTAGAAACCCAAAAAGTTGCTGCAAAAATTGAATGAAGGTTTCAGTAACATAATTTAATTTCTTTAAGAAAAAGTCAGATAAAGGCAAAGTTCGAAGTAAAACTCTTCTGGATTAAAGTTGACAAATAAATTCCTAATTACAAAAGAAAAGCTATAAGATGGAAAAAGTATACCCAAATTATATCTTTTAAAACTAAATTATTGTGAAATTGAATATAGAAAAGAGTGGAGAATCTACAGCAAAAAGAATGACAGAATGACAGAAAAAGAAACAGGAAAGGTACAATATAAGTGGGTGTGTGTTACAATTTGCAAGTGAATGCTATAAACAGAATAAAACAATGGATATTCAACACTGTGTTTGACAGATTCACCCAGAGAAAGAACTATTATGAACCATAGGGCTGGTTTGGTCCTAACACAGGTTTTGAAGTAAGGACACTTTATTCTTCCTAAAAGTAGCTTAGTAGTGATAGTCAAACATTTTTAGGAGAGAAGCCATTCTTTTACTTGTTACCCCAAGATTCCTGCTGCTGCACCTAACAGACTCCTAAAAGCATTTGAAGCAGCTTTGAGGAATCTTGGACCTCTACAGACCAGTTCAAAAATCACCGTGGTAACAAATACATATCTCAGAGTTAACAGGTACTAATATAACTTTTGATAGAGGAGTCAGGGAAGAGAATCTTAAAAAATATCTGGAATAGATATATGTCTGATTTCTTATTGTTAGACAATCTCAGGACTCAGTCCTTGCTTTCTTCTCTGTGTATTCACTCTTGCTCCCTGAATGAGCTTTACTATTTCTAAGTTTATGCCTGTGACTTTATGCCCAGGAGCTCTGATCAAACACTTAAGAGTCAGCCTTGACTCCTCTCCTCAAACTCATATTCAATATGGTAGGAAGTTCTATTGGCTCTAGTTTCCAAACACATCTAAAACTGACCATTTTCACCTCTTCCAAGGCACATTGCCTGCTAGAAATTGCCATCTTCTCTTGCTTGGAAGGCTGCTACAGCCTCATGACAGGTCTCTTTGACCTTGGTAAGTACTCTCAAAACAACACTTGGGGTGGTCCTTACATGTAGTGATATGGTTCACTTTTCTACTCCAAAGCATACAGTGATTCCTTTGGAACCAGAGTAGAAGCCAAAGTTCTTCAAATGACCTTAAAGTTTGTGGTGGACAGTGTGTTGTGCTTCCCAGATCCCCAGCAGAATGATTTATTACCTCACTGCTGAGAGATAGCCTGCAGCTGTCAACATCTTCAGGATTTGTGTTTGCTGAAACAAGTCACTCAAGGTCAAAGAGCCTTCTCAGGGCAGCCAGTGACTGAATGACATGGGATTATCAAGGCCCAAGTGTCTCAACGCAACCTGTGACACCTCTGAAAGACCACTCTGGGTCCAGTACTCCATGTGGGAGGTCAGCTTAGGCTGTAGCTGTGCCTTTATTGCAGATTGACCTCTACTTTTGTCCTACTTGCTTCTGCTCTTTTGCACAGGTCTTGATTCCAACAGAAACCTCTAGCAAATGACCTGCATACCAAATTTTACCTCAGTCTGCTTCCAGAGTACCCAGACTGCAGCAAAAATCCAACACAATCCAGCCCCGCTACAGTCTCCCTGGCTCACCCTGCTCCAAGCACACTGACTTTGAATATTGACGTGCTTATGCCTTATAGTCCTTGCATAGCTGATCACTCTACCTGGAACATACCTCTCCAGATATCTGTACTACTAATTTTCTCAGCAATTTCCAGCTTTGCTTAAATGTCACCTTCTAAACAGGCTACTCTTACCATCCAGTGAAGGCAGGAATAAAGAAAATGATTGAAGAAGGACCAGTTCTCATCATTTCATAATGTGTTTAATTACCTTTCTAGAAATTGATTTCATTTTGAAGAAATGACTTTACTCATTTAAAAAATAGTGAAAATTATTGTTTTAAATAAACAAAAGCAATACAGTGGTAAAGAACACAGACTCTGGACTCACACAAGCCAGGACATGAGTGCCCAATCACTGCCACTCTGCAGCTGTATATCCTGGACAAGTGACTTACCCTCTCATCCTCAGTTTCTTTGTCTATGAAGTAGGGATAATAATATTTATACTTCTTAGAAGGGTTGTGAGGATTAAATGATTATGTATGCAGCAGGCTCTGAAAACTATAAAGGGCCACATAAATACTAGGAATTATTAAGAGATGGCCCTATAAACTGCACATACCATAAATTCCACTGGGAACATATTTGCATCCTGGCTTACAGATCAGGGTCCTAGGAAATAATTTGTTAGTTCTACTCAACCCAAGTGGTCTTCAAACTTCCAGCAAAGCAGAAAGTTCTGGGTATAAGAGAGCAAGTATCCCCCCAAGGGCACTGATAGCCTAGCAAACATTAGTGGGGACACTGAAGATTAGTTACCAATAATGCACTCTTGTTATGTGGCAAAAAATTCTAATTATTTGCTCTTTTTGGACTGACTTCAATTACTTCAGACTTATTCTAATCTCTTAAGGCCCATGTGAAAAATCACATAGGATTTCAAATATATATATATATATTAGAAAAGCTTTAAACTTTGAAAATAGCCTTTGGTTATTTAAGATTAGAACCTAAACATTTTAACATATATTCTCAACTCAAAGTTTTTATATTTCCATTTCTATAATAAAATAATAACTACATTTGGCTTAAAAATAGGACAATAACTCCTACAAAATCCCAACTGATTTTATGTTTGCTTCTATTCATTTGTCATTTACTAGAGTGAAATGCCCTTGCCTATAACCTCAAATCCACAAGCCTGATTGATTTCAGAGGTTGTGCTGGAGGCCCACCTTGCCAAGCACAAATGATAGACTGCCTATAAGCTGGCAGTCTAACAAAAACCACAATAATCTAACATTTACCATTATATTATGTATTTGCCCTTTTTAAAATTTAATTGTTGTTCAAGTACAGTTTTCTGTCTTATACTCCCATCCCAGCCCACCCCACCCCCCAGTGCTCCCCACCTCCCTCTCATTTCCACCCCCCTTAGTTTTTGTCCATGTGTCCTTTATACTAGTTCCTGTAAATCCTTCCCCATTTCTCCTGAAATTCCTTCCACTCTCCCCTCTGGTCACTGTCAGCCTGTTCTCTATTTCAGTGTTTTTGGTTACATTTTGCTTTCTTGTTTGTTTTGTTGTTTAGGTTCCTGTTAAAGGTGAGATCATATGGTATTTGTCTTTCACTGCCTGGCTTATTTCACTCAGCATAATGCTTTCCAGTTCCATCCATGCTGTTGCAAAGGGTAGGAGCTCCTTCTTTCTTTCTGCTGCATAGAATTCCATTGTGTATATGTACCATAGTTTTTGGATCCATTCATTTACTGCTTGGCACCTAGGCTGCTTCCAACCCTTGGCTATTGTAAATTGTGCTGCTATGAACATTGGGGTGCATGGGTTCTTTTGGACTGGTATTTCAGGGTTCTTAGGATATAATTCTAACAGTGAAATTGCTTGGTCAAAAGGCAGATTCATTTTTAGTTTTCTTATGTATTTTCCCTTTCAGACTTATTTGCAGATTCCAGTATAGTCCATTTTTTTTAATTTCTAAGGAACCATATAAGCTTATGTTAAAAGCAATAAGAATATTTATTTTAGAGATGTCATTATTAAAAACCACTATTCTATAGTCATACATTAAAAGTAATAATTGTACTATGTATTAAAATGACCACAATAATAAATGGTGATATGGAGGGAGGGATAAGGAAAGCATACATTTTTCTAACCAATAACCACATAGTATGGTTCTGTCATCCTCCAGACCTATATGCTCTATCTCAGAACACCCCTAACAGTGGGGTAGCAAAAGTGTGTGTGTGTGTGTGTGTGTGTGTGTGTGTGTGTGTTCCCCCTTGAAAGTCAATGCTATATCAGATTATCCATGGTCTTCTCTGAAGTTGTAATCTACTAATAATTGCCTTTGCTTTCCAAGTTTGCCTTTGAGGATATCATGCACTCCTTCGATTTTTTTTCATAGCTTTATACAATTTAATATTCAGGCTAGGTAAACTAGAAATCTCCTCCAGGTCAAACAACTCCTTAAATCTATCTACAAATTTATTTTCTTTCTCTAACCTGAATTTCATAACCCAGAGGATGATGGTAGTTTCTTTGCACAGATGGTCAAAGGTAATGAGAAGTTCTTCCAGGAAAGGATGAGCATAGACAACATCAGCAGCCAGAATGTAGTCAAAATTGTTGGAAGACCTAGGGAAGTTCTTGTCTAAAGCTATGCCCCAGGAGAGTTCTTTAACCTGAGGCAAATGCTTGCATTTCATTTTGGTGTTTCGGGAAATATTATATTGCAGGTTTCCAAGTAATTCAGGTAAATCTGTGGCAGTCACATATGCACCTGTGAAGCAAAGAGTGTAGGAAAAGAACCTCATGGGATAAAGTAAACAATCAGGTTTCCAGCCAAAATGCATTTTACCATTTTGCATAACTGCTAGTCCCAAGTAAAAACCAGTCAATACACACAGGAGAGAAATCCCTTTCAAAGGGGATACTAGGGAAGCTTTATACCTTCTCTTTTTTAAAAAATCAGATTTTCATGGTACTTTTGCGCTGCATTGCATTTTTCTGTTTTCTTGTTGTTGCTGTTGTTATTTTCCATTTTTCTACTACATGCTAGGGAGAAAATAATCAAAAGAAAGTGAAATGCTAAATATTTGGAACCCTCACTAGAATAATCAGTAGTCATTGTTGAGAGATGACCAGGTTCTTCCCTGAAAGAATTCTGAGCCCCACTCCTGTGAGACTAAACAAAATTGTACAATATTGGACATTCTATCATTGACTAGGAAGTACTCAAGTATGAGAAGTGGTGGAAGGAAAGAAGACTTTCCAGTGGTATTACCCTGAAAGTATCATGACACCCATGTTTATACCCAAGTTTTCAGTTTGATCCCATTTTAAGTGTGAACCTTCCCATACCTAGCTACAGCATGTATATAGTGATCATGCAGCAAAAGATACAGATCTTTGAACAGAATGCTCAGATGAAGAAGATATAAACTACTGCCAAGTTAAAAATGAATAGTGATGATCATTTTCAGGAGGAAATCAGAAGGGGCAAAATTGTAGAAACCAATAACCAATAAAATTTGGCCCTTAAAGTAAACTTTGAGCAGGAGAAGAGCCTTAAAATAATTTGTAAATAAATCCAGGTTTGGTCAATTCCACATCACCAGACAAGAACAGATTCAGGTAAGCAATGAAAAAGCAGAACTGGAAGAAAAGTCTAGCTCAGCCCAGACCAATTTAGAACCTATTTCATAACAAAAGTGGCAAGTTTCTCTGGCCATTAGTTGTATTTTGTGGGAAATGTTAAAATGGGAAGGGAAATAGGCACATCATTGGTAGAATCTTCAACTACAATGTGAGTGGTTCTATCATTTTCAATGAATCTTTTTATAATTCCAAGATAAGGAATACAATAGTACTTAACGTGAATATAAAATACCTAACTATTAATATCTTTATGTCCGGAGTGCTGAACACCACCACTTTTGGAATACTGAGTAAAGAAAGCTTCCATCTTTTGATATTTGTGTCCAGATATACAAGCAGATTGAAAGGATCTAATTTCTTTTTAATGAAACAAGTGACTTTCCAGACACAAACTCGGCTCCTAGATAGGGAATCCTTTAGGTATAAATCCAGTAGTCCTTTAGGCTCTCTCCACACAAAATTGAATTGTGACTTTAGAAAGAAGTATCAAGACAGAAGTGTGTGTGTGTGTGTGTGTGTGTGTGTGTGTGTGTGTGTAAGACTTCAATGGTCCTATATTTTTCCAGTGTTCAGAAAGTTGTAAATTGTTAAATCTTGAATTCTTCTCAAGATTTTAGAGTGGTCATGTGTGCACTTCTAAAGATCAAGGAAATCAAGAAAGCTTTGTGTAGCACACATCAGAAAAGACAGCTAAATTAAGGCAATGAAATCTATAACAACAACAACAACGAAAAGACTGGAGTAGGCTGAGGCATACATAAAGACCATCACACATTTAGTTGAAAAAGAAGATTCTGGTGAGAGAATAAAAAGTTGCAAAAGAAGAATAAAAATGAACTGAGAAAATAAATTCAAGGGCAAATACATAAAATTAGAAGCAGACATGATTTCTATGTGATTTCTAATACTCCTTCTCTATTCTAACAGTGGCTTTTTCATAAAAGCATAGGACTTCAAAATCCAAAAGGAATGTTTGGCTAAGTAGAAATGTTAAAATGAGCTAATATTTAAATAAAAAACATCAGAGTCAGCAGCAGTACACTCTATGTATACCTAGCATTTCACATACTCCTCTAGCAGTCAGGATACTTAAGTGCACCTCCAAATTAGAATACATTTGTGACTTAGTGCTCCATAAAAAGATTGAATACTTCAGAGGAAATTCTGAAAGAAACCAGTAAGGTAACATTAAAATTGGTAGTTTCTTGATGAAGCCCATTCAAACAATTAAGGAGTTAAAAATAGGATCAGGTCATAGTGCACTAGATAGTAAAAGCAAATAATGATATTTGATCATTAAATTTTTCAAACCCCATTCAATCACAAATACTTACCAAGCAAACTTGCCACAATGGAGACTAGCCCTGTTCCAGCTCCAATTTCAATCACATTTTTGTCAATCATATTATACTGTTTTATATTCGTTTCCAGAAAATAGCATAGAACAAGGGCCTATGAAAGTTTTAAAAAAAGAAAATAAAAAAATAGTGTTTGGCCAATATTAACAGAATGTACAATTAAACTCTATTAGATGAATATCCCACTAATGCTATGATATGCATATGTGTGTGTATTTGTATATATATCACTACAGAAAATTATCAACAGAAGTATATCATTCAATGGCTCAACATTTAGGCTAGAAAAAGTATTTTGGGTTTGTGGGGAGAAAAAAAACAACTAAAAATATGGAGTCCAGTTGCTTAGGTTTATCTTTAAAGAAAGCAATTTCTAATAATAATCATTTCAAAGAAGTGTGTGGGATTGAAACAGATAGTGGTGAGGGGTCTGCACCCTTCGTGGGACAATTAAAAAAGGAAAGTATTTTAGGATATTTCCCATGTTGACACCACTAAACATTTCATTATAATTGTTTAAATCAAATGGAGTCAGTTAAATGGGAAATGAAATGTTCACTATTCTAAACTCTTATGGTCACAAAATAACCCTTGTGGTATAAACAACATTTAAAAAATTATCCTACAAGTCAGAAGTAGAATTGATTGTGGAAGCATTTTCCAAATTTTATGATTTCTAAATTTTACTGTTTGAGGTAAAAAAATAGAACTATAGAACCTATTTAGTTTTCCCAAATAGTATAAAATAATGAACAAAACTGACTGAAAATAATTGAAATGTAGCAAATTTTGTATGAAATTATACCGATGGCCAAACAACAGCACCATAACAATCCATAGCTTCAGTTATTCGAATCTCATGACCAACAAAATGAAATTCTTCCCAGGGGGTGGCTGTTACTAGAGGTGGAATAAAACATCTTGCCATGATCTCTGCAACCACTTTCTTGTCCTCATCATCTTCTCTGTCCCCTGGGAAAAAAAGAGAAAGGCAATTGATATGGTTGTGTTAGTTAGACCATGAAAAAAGGAGAACCTAATGGAAACATTTCTACTTATTCTAAGATACTTTTGAATATTCATTGACTTTATGTGCAATGTATTAGTAAGGTAATTATTTGAAAATGATTCATAATGTAAGCTAATGTTTCATACATCAGGATGGCAACATCTTCCTGATTTTCACTAAAGTTAAAATCACCACTGTTCATTTATACAATGCTAGATGAAATAAATGTTAATATAGTTTTTAAAAAATATATATTTAAGGTAGCCCCATATGTTCATCTAGAACAGAAGAAATATTAATGATGGAATATAAAGAACCCAACTATTCATATTGGCTGCATAATGTAATTTCAGTTATTTCAGTAACATATATCCTTTATGACCTGCCTTTATTCAGATAAAAAGTATTTCACACCACCCAACAATATACTCTTGTATTATTTTATTATTCTTTATTTTTATATTATTATTTTGGGGGCAACTCATGGCATCATAACATCCACAACACTACAGGAGGTTAATAAGCAATGTTAACTATCAATTACCGAGCACTTGCTTCACATGCTAGACCATGTTAGATACAATGTATATATTTCATATAACTTTTGCACAAACCTTGGAAGATATGCATTATTATTTGCACTTTTACAGATAACAAAACCAGGACTTGGAGAACTTTAAATTTGACCAAGCTCACACAGCTTGTAAATGAAGGAGCCAAAAATGAACTCCTTTTTTGGTTATTCCAAAGCCCCCACTCTAAACTATTAAAATCGTGTAATCTAAAAATAACCTGCCTGGACAGTATAGCTCAGTTTGTTGGAGTGTCATTCCATAAACCAAAATTTCAGAGGTTCTACTTCCAGTCAGGGCACATGCCTATGTTATGGGTTGGGTCTTCAGGAGGAGCCAGTGTGACAGGCAACTGATCAATGTTTCTCTCTCACCTCTCTCTCTCTCTTTTTCTCTCTCTCCCTCTCCCTCTCTCTAAAAGCAAGAAAGAAAAAATGTTCTTAGATGAGGATAAAAATTATAATAATAAAAGGAACCTAAAAGTTCCAAAGAATTTACAAATTCATTATGGAGCAAGATATACATCTCCCTCTAAGCCATCATTTACTTGTTGGTAAAATAGGAAAGACAGAAAAATGTACATCAAAAAGTATTGGGAGATTTAAATAAGATGATCTATTTAAAGTGCTTAGCACCTTGTCTTATTACATTGGTCTCAATAAATTATTATTGTTGTTATTTTTATTATTATTATAGCTGCTACAATATTTTGGTATGAAACTAAATGATAAAACAAGATAACCATATAATAAAAAATATTAGATTATATGAGATTGGAGTGAAAATTCCATACTCACTCATAAAAGTGGAGAGTAGAATGGAGGTTGCCAGGGGCTGGGAGGTGAGAGAGACAGGGAGATGTCGGTCAAAGGGTACAAAGTTTGTTAGGCAAGATAAGCAAGTTCTGGAGATCTAATATACAGCATGGTAACAATAGTTAATAATGATGTATTATATACTTTAAATTTACTATGAGAGTAGAGCTTAATTGTTCTCACCACAAAAAAGAAAATGTTAACTATATGAGGTTATGAACATGTTAATTAGTTTGATTATGATGTTCAGTTCACAATGTGTGAAACAAGTTGTACATCTTAAATATATACAATTCCATTCATTGATTATACCTCAATAATGCTTGGGGGGAAATTCTATAGTTAAATAAAGGAGGGGGAAATTATTGTGACACTGTGGTAGTGCTTATCAGGGATAGCTTCATAAAGGAAGTGTGACTTAAGTTTAACCTATCTAATGTATGATTTGCATTGATAGGAAAACTATTTACTCCTCACACCAACCCTTAAAATCTACTAATCTTTTAAGTCTTGCCTTTGTTATTTGCCATTTTCCCCACCTCAACACTAATGAACCCAGGCTCAGTTCTCTTCAGAAGAAAAGGTAGAAAATAAAGACAACTTCAAGTACAAAAAAGATATAGTGTTATAACCAAAAAAAAGGAAAATATTTTTTTAAGATTTTATTTATTTATCTTTAGAGGAGAAGAGAAGGAGAGAGGGAAAGAAATATCAATGTTTGGTTGTTTCTCATGCGTCCCCTGCTGGGAACTGGCCTGCAACCCAGGCATGTGCCCTGACTGGGAATTGAACTGTGATCGTTTGGTTCGCAGGCCCATGCTCAATCCACTGAGCTACACCAGCCAGAACAAAAAAGAAAAAAGAAAATATTTATAATTCTTTAAAAGAGAAAGAGGTCAGCAGAAAAGATTCATTTCAAAAACTTAAGGCAGAACATTTGTTCTTTGGTTGTTCCATTTATTCTGTTAACAAAACTGTATGCATTGAGGGTGTGCTATGTACAAAGCACTTTGCAAGATGATGGGAAGGCAGCAATTAGTCAGATACACCTGGTCCTTGTCCTTGGGAAAAGAAGAAATGTAGACACAGCTGTCTGAATTTTAGTGATACACATGGTACTTCATGACATCCCCATGAAGAAACTCCAAATAGGATGCAAGTTAGATTTTCTACAACACACCTTAAGTACTTGGCTTTAATGACCACCTAGATAAAACTTTCTAATAAATGGGTATTCACAGCTTTGCTCTGATTGATATTTTTGTTACTGGTTTGACTGATGATATTAAAAACACAATCAAATATTCAAATGACATAAGTGTAATGGAGAATTATAATAGAAAACTAAATGTAAAACAAAATATCTTAATGGGCTATACCAGTAGATTGACTTAATATGAAATTTGAAAAAGACTAGTGTAAAGTCCACATTCAGACTTAATTATTTGGAGTCACAAGCTCAATATGAGTCAAAAGTAAAATACAATTATCCAAAGAAGGTAATATACCCAGGCATTAGTAACAATATAATTTTTAAAAAGGGAGATAATAGCTCTTTTCTGTTTGAATGTGGTCAAGTCATAGTTGTATCTCCATATACATTTTGGAAAGCCCCATTTGAGAGGGCCACTGAGAAACTGGAGCAACTGGGAGGTGACAAATCTTGTCACTCAGACATATGAGCACAGTTCCAGGACATCAGCATTTTTATCATAAAGAAGAAACAATCTGAGGAATCACAAGAGTTTTCACAAATTTGAAGGAGCAGTAAATGGAAGAGATAATAGTGTGTGTGTGTGTGTGTGTGTGTGTGTGAGATTTGTATTCCCAGAAAGCAGAATCTAAACCCAATGTGAAAAATTACAATAAAGCATATTTGTAATATTTTTCTTAAAAAATCATACCTTCTCAAAGATAAAGTGGCTCATTTTAGAAGGTAGTAAGCAACTAGTCCCCATAAACTATCATACAGAAAACAGAAGACCATTCTTTCAAGATATTAAGGATTCATCAGATTGATGTTTGGTCTTGCAGAACTAGGACCACTGTACAACTGAATTTCTATGATACTGTAAAATAACTACATTCCATCATGTGGAGAAGTGCTACCATCGAGATACAATGTGCTAAGGATATGTAGAAGAGAAAGTTTTAAAAAGTAGACAAAAGGAAGCCAGTAGTCGAGAAGGAAAGAGAGATACGAGACTTTGGAAGGGAAGTAAATGAACAGAAAGTAAGATTCATCCAAACCGCAGGCTAAGAAATTCATTCATTTATTCATTGAACAACTATTCACTAAATACTTACTAAACTCTACACAATTTCTAGTGACTGAGAATTAAAAAACTCAAGGATACATTCCCCATGCCCGTGAAGTTTACAGATGTGCAGAGAGAGACATGCAAATGGACAGTTACAGTGCTATCTGAAAATTGTTAAAATAGAAGTGAAAGGAAAGCACAATGAAACAGAAAAAAAGAGCCCCATGTCAGCCTGTGAAATTCATAGATGATTTCCTGTCCTAAATTCTGTGATCCCTTAATAAAGTCCTGCTTAGGATCCATACAAAATCAAGTATTCCCCCAAAGAACTCAAACTTCACTATACACCAGAGGATGGGCCCAATCTACCACCCCAATCTACCAGCAACACAAATACTCACTGATTCTTGATAAATATGCAGAGAAACCAGAGATGAAAAATTGATATTCTTCAGCAAGAGCCCCCTTTTCTATATTTAACTATCTTTCTCCTTAAACAATGGAATGTATTCACATTGGAAGAGCTCTAAGAACTGAATAAAATTAGCAGTATGTTTTATTTGAACTTTAACTTTCATTTCACTATATTCACTTGCTTTGCTAAGATGGGGTTGGGGGAAGGGCAATGTTTGCTGTGAAAGTTCTTTAGGGAAAAGCAGAGAACATTAATTGCTTCCTTGACCTTTAGCTGAATATGCCCTCCTGGGCCTCCTTGCAAGCTCCTTGTAAATGCAGCACTTCCTTGACAAGTCACCTTAGGTATCAGGGATTAATAGATGTTAGAGTACACTAAATCTCAGGAGCATCTCCTAAAGTCCCAATCTTTAATATAAAAACTTTGCCAGTGAATATTTACTGCTACAGACTGACATCTCTAACTCTGCACTTTCTTTTAAAGGTTAGTCAACCAGATTTAGTGTTTTTGTTCTAAAAACTACAATGTAATAACAAATAATTCCTGTTTTCTGACTGCTTTCTAAATAAAAAAGCTAGTTATTTCTTTTTAGGAATGACCACATTTTTACCTTTATAAGGCTATGAGATTTGAAATATATATGTGAATATACTATTATAAATGAAAATTACTTATACCCTAAAATAAAATACCTTCAAAGAGATTTCATGAAATAACAATAACCACTATTAACTGCACATTTATTCTAAAAGCACAATTCTATCCATTGTATATGGTAATTCAAAATTAGTTATCACCCACAATGACCACATATTATGTAGAAAATATTATCATGTGGAACAAAATTTAATTGATGATGTTTTACATCAATGTTCTTTTGCATTTAAATACTATATGAAT